GATAAGGCCGTCGCATACCAGATAAGGCCGCAACGGCCGTTCAACGTTACGTGGGGAAATTGGAGAAATCTAAAGACTTTTTTCTCTCTGACGTCTCCACTCCGCAACTGGCAAGCGTTGTTAGCATTGGCTCGTGTCGTCGTAAATAAGATTTGTTTGACGGATATTCCGTTAGTTGAGTGTGTTGTTGTAATTTCTGAGGCTGTATGAGTTGGACGGAATGGCGCCATCCCGCCAAGTGCGAAATCGGCGGTGTAGTGTGAAGGGTTGTGGAAAAACAAAGGCTGATTGTCCCGAACTTGAACTTCTTCCATGTTCCGAAAAACCGTGTCAAGTAAGTCCAATTTGAAATGCTGGAGATTGCGGGGCAGGCACTAAGTGAAAAACAGTTGCATATTTTACGAAATTGTATTAATAGGTATATGTTTTTATGTCATACATGCACAAATGTAATGATCAAATGTTTTAAGTGTTTGAAGTGTTTGAACACACAAATGTTTGAAGTGTTACCTACTCATACATCAAACAGTAAGGCGTACGAGTAAATTGTGTGGATGAAGTCTGAGTGGTCCGAGGAAAAAAACAATCGAACTTGACCTAAGTCCTAATATTACCTAATAACCTACTAAACTACAGCCTCCCACGAACCTACAACCTACATGCTTACAACCTACAACCTACAACTCGGAGTTCATCTACACATATAACTAAAGTACTCAATGTACTATCTGTGGTTACTTGTTATCTGTTACTTCAGTACTGGAATGGCAAGCCTTGCAATTTTCCCAGACCTTTGATCACAAAGTCATGCTGTTTTTATTTTAGGAGACTTGCTTGGGTGGCTGTCCTAGAAGATGGCTTGGCGGACAAGCAGGTTGACGAGGCACTTGTGTGTAGCTGCCACTTCAACCCTCAAGATCTTTTGCTTGGAGAACGGGCTAGAACGTCACCACATGCCGTACCGTCAATAGCAGTCGTGGAAGGTGGGTTTGGCATTTCCTTTGTAATTGAACTGGTTTTTAGCACAACTTGTAAAAGTGGCACAAACATTGTTACATTGAACACTTGATGTGATGTAGAACCTGATAGCTGATGTTGAGTCTTGCAAATTGTATGAACAGCAGCTGGTGCATTGAGCCTGACAAGTGACGTTGGCACCCTAGTAGTCTCGTGTTTGAGTGTGGTCACCTAAAAAACTTGTGTGTAACCAACCAAAAAGTTTTTAAATATAATTTTGGGATAATATTGATGTGGTGTGTTTTGGTCATATGGCTTGGATGGTGACTAACACTAATTAAGGAATGCTTCTTCACGACAATCTCCAGTCTCCTGAAGCACCATCAGCTATATTTTCTTCCCAGGGATTCATCCCTGAATCACAATCATTACCTAGGCCAGATAACTTTGCTGGGTCACATGGTCAAAACAGTTGCAGCTACAGGGTAGGTATATCAGCTGTACATGTATTTGACAGACTGAACATTCTTTCTGTACATCTGGACAGGTAAACTTGATAGGCGGCCGGCGCGCGCCCATCGGCACCGGCGGCAGGCGCGCGACCATCCCATCGGCACCGGCGGCGAGCGCGCGCCCATCCCATCGGCACCGGCGGCGGGCGCGCGCACATCGGCACCGGCGGCCAGCGCGCGCCCATCGGGCACCGTCGGCGGGCGCGCGTCCATCGGCACCGGCGGCGGGCGTGCGCCCATCCCATCAGCACCGGCGGCGGGCGCGCGCCCATCGGCACCGGCGGCCGGCGCGCGCCCATCGGGCACCGTCGGCGGGCGCGCGTCCATCGGCACCGGCGGCCAGCGCGCCCATCCCATCAGCACCGGCGGCGGGCGCGCGCCCATCGGCACCGGCGGCCGGCGCGCGCCCATCGGTACCGGCGGCAGGCGCGCGACCATCCCATCGGCACCGGCGGCGGGCGCGCGCCCATCGGCACCGGCGGCCGGTGCGCGCCCATCCGATCGGCACCGGCGGCCGGCGCGCGCCCATCGGCACCGGCGGCCGGCGCGCGACCATCCCATCGGCACCGGCGGCGAGCGCGCGCCCATCCCATCAGCACCGGCGGCGGGCGCGCGCACATCGGGCACCGTCGGCGGGCGCGCGTCCATCGGCACCGGCGGCCAGCGCGCCCATCCCATCAGCACCGGCGGCGGGCGCGCGCCCATCGGCACCGGCGGCCGGTGCGCGCCCATCCCATCGGCACCGGCGGCCGGCGCGCGCCCATCGGCACCGGCGGCAGGCGCGCGACCATCCCATCGGCACCGGCGGCGAGCGCGCGCCCATCCCATCGGCACCGGCGGCCAGCGCGCGCCCATCGGGCACCGTCGGCGGGCGCGCGTCCATCGGCACCGGCGGCTAGCGCGCCCATCCCATCAGCACCGGCGGCGGGCGCGCGCCCATCGGCACCGGCGGCCGGCGCGCGACCATCCCATCGGCACCGGCGGCGAGCGCGCGCCCATCCCATCGGCACCGGCGGCGGGCGCGCGCACATCGGCACCGGCGGCCAGCGCGCGCCCATCGGGCACCGTCGGCGGGCGCGCGTCCATCGACACCGGCGGCCAGCGCGCCCATCCCATCAGCACCGGCGGCGGGCGCGCGCCCTTCGGCGGCACCGGCGGCCGGCGCGCGCCCATCGCCGGTGCGCACGCGCGCGCCCATTGCAGAGAGAGGTGATGTGATTGACCCTGTTGGCGCTGCTGCAGCTGCCGACAGCTGCCGCCGCCGCGGACAGCTGCCCGCTGCTGGTGGTCGTCTCCGAGCCGGCCCTGCTTTGCTGGCAGCCGGCACTGCTGCTCTGGCTGTCCCTGACCACTCAGCTGGCCAGCAGCTGAGTGGCCCGGCGCCGCCGCCACTGCCCCAGCTGACCGAGCCGCCGCCGCCGCCGCCAGCGGAGGACCGGGGCCCGGGCGTCCAGTCGCTCCGTGCGGGCGTTCGAATATCTCCCAGTTTGTTGGCCCGTGTGTCTGTCTGTCCCGTCCCCCGCGTGTCTCCCTCCCGTCCCCCGGGTCTCTCCGCCGGGTGACGCCGCTCTGTCTGTTCCAGCCGGCTCCCAGCTGCGCTCGCCGAGCCAGACGCAGCAGGTGATGTCGCCGTCGGTCGTGGTGCGCGACTGTGCGCCCACCCCGCGTCCAACGCCCCCCTCCCCCCCACAACGCGCGCTGTAGCGCCTGCCGAGCGCCGGCTGCTGCCAGGCCCGCCGTCGTAGTTTTATGGCCTTGCGCCGTCAGTCGCCAGCTGGTGGTGGCGACCCGTGATCGCTCGCGTACGTTCGCCGGCACGCCCATTGCAGAGAAAGGGTTCGCGCATGCCCATTGTAGAGGGGCGCGCCCCCTGCGGAGGCGGTACGCGCTACGCTGTAGACACTACTGCTTGTACCTGGTTGGGTAGCCCCTTTGCACATTGTTTGTTCATGGATGTAAATACAAGTTACATCACTGATGAGTGTAATGCTTACATTTTTGAACTAAGAAATGCCACAGGGCAGGTTACCTCGGCGAGTTTCTGATATCAACATACTGAACATAAGAGCAGAATAATTATCCATAGAGCGTTAAGGATTTTAGCCACCGAATTCACCAGTCAGTAATTGCACATGGTGGCACCATGAGCATGAGTACCTCGCCTTGTCCGATCCTTTTCACAACTAGCAAGTAGAATGTGGGAAAAGGCAGGGAACTTCAAAGCATGCACATATGTAGATAGCTGATGATTCTCTCTGTTCAAACACGATCTGGCACTCTGCAGCCTGTTCTGTTCCACATGAGTTGCCGGGACAGCATCACACATGAATTTCTGCATGCTTCAAACAGAAATGCCTTAATTTTCCTTAAAATATATTCATTTTTCACACAAAGACAACAAAAATGTACATGCAGGTGGGTACTGTGGCAAGAAATTACATACAAATGTATTTTGCCATGTAGGTACCCTCCTTTCACAGCACAATCATCAATCATAATTAAGAGCACCAAGACGTTCTTTGCGACTTGCGAGCCCAGCCGTGTCAGACCAGCTGATGCAGGGGCTCTGTCACAGGGGGCACAAGGCCCAGTGGTTATGTCACAGCACAATGTTGTACAACCTGCTATTCAAGAACACTTAAATCTTGAAAAACCTGTAGTTCTCGTCACCTCACTTTTCGCACTCTTGACAAATCACTAATCAGTCAGATCAAGACTGAAACTTGAAGAGGATAAGCTCTTTTGTGGGATGTACTTGCAGTTTCAATTCAATGACATAAATTACTCGAAATTACCATTTAAATTGTACTGTACCATGACGAATCTACCATTGAAAGAAAATTGTATCATGACCCTGCTATAAAAACTGAAACAAGCTCCAATTGCATATGATAAATTTGGCGATGTTTATAAATCTTGCTGCCTTAGACAAGCAAATCTTCAATTTGTTTCAATTTCAGTCGAGTTCTTCACCAAAAATCCATCGTATATCGACAACCAATGCCTATCACCGAAATCTTGTAGAAATCCTCAATCCCGCAAAATTTCGCAAGGCCGCTCTTTGTTTACATTATAGTGATGGGCCAATCTGACCGCTCAAGTACTTGTTTTGCGGGAGTAAGTACATTTTTGTCGTTTTTCAAACGGCTATAACTTGCAAAGTATAGCATCAATAGGCGTTTTATGTATATCGTTGAAATCGGCAGAGTCTGGAGACTTAACTGATAGGCAATACATTCCGATTCCTTTCAATTTTCAAACCCTGATAATCCCTTTAAGGAATTTAAAAGAAATGTTGATATCAGGTTAGATATCAGATAAATTATTATTTTTCTTTCACTTTTCAGCACTAAAATAAATACTTAGCGTCACATTTGTAGCATAGCAAGCATGAGCAAAATTTTGTTCGTCTGTAATTTTTTCAGCGCTGTTGAAAAGCATGTAATGACGCAATAAAGAATAATTTGGACTGATCTTTTGATTTAAGGTATCATTTAATCCCGATTGCCACAAGTAAGTAAAACAAGGTACGTTTTTTAATTTCTTTTTAATCAGAAAAGCCCATTTTACTGATTTATTTTCATTGCTCGCGAAAAAACAATATTTTATCGATGATGTCATTGAAAACTCTTTTCAACATCAACATAGATATGCTCTTCAACGACATTGTTGTTTGCTAGTTCATTTACGTGTGTTATATATATATGCTGTTTATTATTAGGTTGTATTCAGTATAGGTACATTGCGGGGGCCGCCGCCCAAATTATTTGTAATAATCCCTGGATTCAATGCGGTGAGTACCATCAATAAGTGTTTCATTTATATGCACTGTATAAAAGCATTGACATTGGATAAATTGTGATGGATTTATACGTCGGATAAACTGAAGCATGAACTGAAGTGTGCTGCTCTTGCGGCTCGCCCTTCCATTGTTATTCGCTGTTTGAAATGATGCATGTTGCGAGACAGAAGATTGAGATTAAAATTCTTAATTTTGAATGAAATAGCATGTGAGATGAGCATGGGGCGCTATCGGTTACGCTAGCGAAGGCGTTATCGATAGCTTCAGCGGTGTGAACCAGAACAGCTAAGGTTGGTACCTATATTGTAAGTATATTGACATAAATATGGAAGCGCTGCTGAATTAAATGATTTCATTGGATTGTGAAAAAGTCTAGAACATGTCAAGTGGGACATAGTGGGACTCTGCCCGTCCCAGCGTGAGCGGGATGAAGTGGGACTCAGCCAACTACAGCGGGACATAGTGGGACTCGGCCAAATACCGTTTATTACCACGGGACAAAGTGGGACTCAGCCGACTATAGCAGGACATAGTGGCACTCAGCCGACTACAGTGGGACATGTGGGACTCTGCCGGTCCCAGCGGAATACAATGGGACTCTGCCGGTTCCATCAGGACACAGTGGGACTCAGCTGATTACAGTGGGACGAAGTGAGACTCAGTCGACTTCAGTGGGACATAGTGGGACTCAGCTGACTACAGTGGGACTCTGTCCCGCTGCAGTCAATTGAGTCACTTTGTCCTGCTGTAGTTGGCTGAGTCCTTGTAACGCCGACATGCCAGACAGTTGGGCCGATGTAAACGGGGCACCGTCAGAGCCAGGGTTTGGGTCGATATGGCTCTATTTCAGTTACCCAGCCTTTGGCGTAACGCTCCCAACACCCGAGTTGGTACGGCTTCGAACCACCAAGTCTGGCTCAAGTCCGGCTCCGTTGCCATGGCTCAAGTCCAGCTCCCTACGGCCAGGTCCGGCTGCCTTGTAGCTGCCTTAGCTTACTGTGGCTGAAGTACGGATGAGGTATGGCTCAGCTGATGCGGCATAAGTCCGACTGTGGTGCGGGCGAGCTCCGGAATCGTGTGTCAGCTCCCGTAGGGCTCCAGACCTTGCCTGAACTTTAGCCGGAGCCAATGCTGGAGCTAGGCAGAGTAAAACCAGCTATGGCCCAGACCAAGTTTGCTGGATGGGCTATGCCCACTTAAGTATGAGGAAGGTTATCAGAGGTCTAGCCCTCATGAACACCCAAGGGCCCAAGGCCTTGTGAGATCCTGTGTAAATTGGTCATGTTTTGCAGTCTGGTGGCTGGTTGCAAGTTGGGATGGGCTCCAGTAAAAGGTGACCTATGACACAGCACAGTGCTAGGTCCTGCACTTTGCAGTGTATGCGAATGATTAGCTGGCCCGGTACCCAAACACAGTGAAGATGTTTGCACTTCAATGGATTGAAATGCAAGTTGATGTACCAAGGTTTCCACAACCCAGACTACACAGTGCAAATATGACCTGAACAGGATTGCTGTCGTCCGTCGTCTGCAATGAGGAACGAGACCTAGGTATATGATTGATAGCCAGCTAAGACAGCTCTAGAAACAGCCACCATTATCGCCAAGAATCCCTAGGTACTCACATTTCACAGCGATCAGTTCGTCATTCGCAAACCTCGATAAGTTCACCCTCCTACTTCTTTTCAAGGACTAATAAGACCCTACCCCGAGTGTGGGAATGCCTTTCTGGGGTCCATTCTCCAGAGAAGACCATGTAGAAGAGCTTGGAGCGAGTACAGCCGACGCGAGACCCGTCTGATCATGGACCTCAGATACTTGCAGTAGGTACTCTAAAAGGCTTCACCGCCTCAGCCTCCCATTGCTGCACTACCGCCGCTGTCGTGGAGATGTGGTGACCGTGTACCAGCTCCTCCACGGACTTCTGGATGTGCCGCTTGAGTCACTGCTGACGAGACACGAATCACAGACCTCAAGAATGGGCGCAAAATGACCCCAGCAGTCGGCGCGCCCCAAAGCTCCAATAAACAAACAACAACAAACAGACCTCAAGAGGTCACCAATGGAAGCCGAGGAAGTCGAATGCCGAGTATATCTGCGCCACAACGCTATAGCAAAGTATTTGCTTTGATACGCAAGTCGTTACAAGTCAACAACTGCGCCACTCTTCCCCTGCGATTCAAGTCACTCGTCAGGCTCCATCTGGTTCTCTAACTGCGCGTGTTTAAGTGAAACCCGTTCTGGTTTTGCTCCCACGGAGGCAGAATATGGACGTATATGACAAAATGCAAGACGAGAAGTGAAGACGACGATAGGAATTTTGAGATAAAATATGGGTGAAAAACAAACAACAAACTGATTTGAGACAAAGAAATAAAGAAATACACTTATGTTTTCATTTTTGGTTTGCTTCTCATGCGGTGTATATGACGTACACATTTTTTATTGCAGGATTGAACTAAGTCTGCTGCGTTGATTGGTTTTGTACCTCTGCGAGTCTCCAGCAGCCGGCAGCCATGGGGCGTCGTTCCATCAACTCCACCAAGAGTGGAAAGTACATGAACCCCACCGACCAGGCCCGTAAGTCACTCCCGACAGTTGCCAGTTACAGACTACTGGTGTGGTGCTGTTGTCTGTGTGATCAGTGATATAACTATGCACTTATGCTGACTGCTGAGTTAGTAGTATACTTTATAGTGATCTTTTTTTTTTTTGCTGTAGTGAGGTATTTTGTGGGTGATCATGGTAATCCTTCGATTATGTGAGATTTCTTGTTATTGAGTATGGGAGCTTGTTCCGTGATTATCGAACCTCTTGACAAGTCTTGCAGAATTATTTTGTTTTAATTCCCAGTTTTTGTTCTGCAATGCCTCCGTACGTGGTTTCGATGCAATACAAGTACAACTAAGCAACTAGGTAACAAATACCACTCGATGACAACACGATCTCTTTCCTCGTCTTTTCAGGCAAAGAGGCGCGTCGGAAGGAGTTGAAGAAGAACAAAAAGCAGCGCATGGCAGTGCGCCATGCCGTGCTCAAGAACAAAGACCCGCGAGAGCTTCTGCAGGAGTTGGAGAAAATCGACAAAATGGGTACGGTCTATTTCGGGGCTGCTGGGATGTGTGGTCAGGGAACAGGAGACGGACGGGAGCTGATGATATCGCATTATTAACTCCTGGCGGTAATCAATAGGATTTACGTTTTATACATAAACCAGTCGTATCTTGTATTACTGTCTTCACTCATGCTTTTTATTCCTTTATTCTTCTGATATTTAATGATGTTTTGGCTTGTATGGCTAAACTGTGATTTTCGGTATCAGTGCTTCAAGTTTTTAGCGTTATTTTCACCGCAATTTATCCCCGCAAAAGTGTCTAGTGCTCACGCTCATTGCAGTTTATCGTCTGTTTCAGAGTTCAGCGTGGATACCTCGGCCCCGCTCAGTGAGAAAGTGCTCAAGGAAAAACGGAAGAAACTCAAAGAAACACTCGAGAGGGTCCTCAAACTCTACGTGAGTTATGGCGGCGGCCAGCGTAGATGCTTAGTTCAAACCATACGGGTAGGACAGCAGTTCGAAGTTAGCATTTTGTTGAGTGCTTATAATAAAATCAGTCACATTTACTTGTATCGTCCAGTGTCAAAGGAGCACCCATCACTGGCTCGATATTCGCAGCTCCTGTGTCTAATTATGATTGTGTTTGTCTTTACTGTGACTCTTTGTTGTTTCCCCACAGGAAAAGGAAGACCCCGAGACCGATATCCGTGGCGCTCCTGTGTCTATGTTTGTGTCTGTATGACTGTAGTGTTTATGTAACTGTGTGTCTGACTGTGTCTAAGTGTAACTGTGACTGTGTTCTGCGCCCACAGGAGAAGGAAGACCCCGAGTACTGGGCCGAATATATCCGCAGCTCCTGTCTGTGACTGTGACTGAGCGTGAATGGGTGTATGTGACTGTGTCGAGCTGTGACTGTATTTTTTGTCTCACAGGAGAAGGAAGACCCCGAGTACTGGGCCGATATCCGCCGCTCCGAGTCCGAGTATGAGAAGAAGAGAGGCTCCCTCATCACGTACTACGAGTCTGTGAAACACGCCCAGCAGGTAAGGACCTGCCGTCGCGTCGGGAGGGGAGGTTTTCTTCACTGTGTTTGTAAAAACGTGGCTTCATTGTTTAATGTGGTTTTGATTTTAGGCTGTGGTAGCTGGCATTTGACGTTTAAGGTCTAGTGTTTCTGCTACAACCGTCATCAGCTGTTGCTCGCATGCAGTAATTTGGGAATTACGAAGGTCAATTGATGCTGAATTTACGATTGAATGATAGCCAATGGATCCTGTCCACCCTGCGCTCACTGACGCGTCCCCTCACCATCCCTTTACTAAGGCGTCCCTTCCTCCCTCCGAACGCATCCCTCTGTCCCTTTCTGTCGTGAGGGGGACACCGACACCGAGGGGACACCATCCCATCGGTGTCCCCTCCCTCCTCCCTTACTGACGCGATCTCACCTCGTCGCCGGTGCGCCCTGTTGCATTAAATCAGTGTAGTAGTTAGTGGCCTTATGCCCAGTCTGGCCGACAGTGCTGCCGCCTGACGGGTGACCTTGGATGACCGGTCACTGGGAAGGAGCGGCCGAGGTCAGGGACGAGGGCCAGTCTTGTTGCGGGCCTCGCGGTGGACGCTCGGCTGCGGTGCTGTTGTGCGCGATACTTTTATTTTAACTGTCTTGACTGGTTGTGTTACCGCCAATACACGGCGAGACAGTACAATCATCATCATCCCATTACTGACGCACTGACCTTTTCTCTCGTCCCCTTAGGTCCAGGTGGAGGAGATCCCTCTCCCACAGAACCTCCTACCCGAGACGGCGCCGGCCCACATACCACTGCCGCCCGGTCTGGAACTGCCGCCGCCGCCCGCTGCAGGGATATTAAAGAGGCATCCACCCGGCACAGAACCAGGGTCAGTCAACGAGCGGAGAGGGCTGCGAAAGGCAGCTGCGCTCTGCCATTTTTTGTTAACGTCATTTACGCATAAGATCGGACATATTTGCCTGCTTTTATGTTGCTCTAGAGTCTAGGACATGTCTGGTTGCTCAGACAAATTTGACGTTTGTTAGATGGATACGTTTAGCTGAGAAGAAGTGTGTTAATGTCAGATGCGACTAGCGCACTTACGAATCCAGTTTCTATGAAGGGAGAAGGTTCTTCAATGCAAGCGCCCTTCCCCATTGATGTTACTTAATACTTCTGTTTAGGCTGTTTGCGTTCCCGCATGTTGATATGTGTAGATTTCTTCCCGATACAAAGGATACCGGCTTGCTTCCGACACAGCTAGACATGATAAATCTCTTCGGTAGGTATGCTTTGCTTTCGCACCCTCCCTCTCCCTGCTGACACAGCCCCCATCCATCCCCCAGGGAAGGCGCGGAGCCCCGCCGGGGACCGCCCGGTGTTCCACCGGGACCACCGCCCCCTCTGGAGCTACCCGAGGATGAGGTCGAACCCGAGCCGGCCAGCCTCCATCCGCCGGGAACGGAGCCCACAGAGGAGACGGCCAGGGAGGAGAGGGAGGAGTCGGATGAAGAGATGGATCATGATGGCGGTAAGCGTCCTGGGTTGTTAGAGAGAGTAGGTACTTGGAAAAGCTCAATTGTACCGTAACTCTTTCGATGGTCGTTTAGCATCAAGTTCGGTGCCTGCATTGTCCTTTGCGGTGAAAAACTAAGTCCTCACTCGGCGTAGTTAGTATAATGTGCCATAATGGTGCACTGGACGTGACGTACTCCATCGGTCTGTAATCTACGTTATTATCAGTTGTCTCATCGTTTCTCGGTAAAATTTCTAACGCGTTTTAGCCGCCTTAGCTGTTGTGCCCGAAGTTAAGCCTGTCGGAGCTTCTATCTCGTAGTATCTTTCAGCCCCTCCTACTCGCACAAAATCCATCTTTAGAGATCTCTCACCCTCCCCCTACCCACCCACAGAGGGTGGCGCCGGCCCGTCTCGCTCGCGCCGTATCCGGTTCGAGGGTGACGAGGAAGAGCCTCCGTCTGAGAGGGCAGACGACCGCTCAAAGTCCTCCGGCGGCGTGTTCAACAGCATGCAGCTCAAGATGCTGCAGATGAGCGGACAGGACATCGACAGCTTCATGAAGGAGGTAGGGTTATCTGTGGCTGATAACACTCATTCCACCGCGGCTGGACGGTGTGTGTGTCTGTTCTATTTTTTCTTGACCCGTGACACTTAAGTCGATTTTTTCGCTGGTTCTGAACCAAACAGGTCCTGTTCTCCGCCGCTGTCAAAGCCTGTGTTAGTGTCTGACGAGTGTCTCCGACACTTTAAGTACGTGTAAAACTACTCCAGTGTTTTGTCAGTAGTGTGTGCCCGTATATGACCTTTTCGCGTCCTCTCCGATGCTCCAGTCTGAACAGCTCATGAAGCAGCGAGAGGACCGACTGGGCATCAGCAGCAGCGGAGCCGGAGCCGGAGCCGGAGCCGGAGCCGGAGCCGGTCCCTCTGACCTCCAGGAGCGTCTCCGTGCGGTGGGAGCCCAGTCCTCTGCCGCTGCTGCCGCGGCGGCGGCTGCTGCGGCCGGGGGTCCGCCTCAACTGCGACCTCTGGTGGGCGGAGAACACCGACCGCCGGCAGCCCAGCACACCATGCCACCAGGTTAGTGAAGCGGGGGACATAAGCGTTTGCTGGGTGATTAAGTGTCTTTGAAGTGCAATCTGATGCAAGAATTATCTTCGGCAGTGCGCCTGTGTCTTTATGAATAACATTGGCTCGATCGCCCGTTTATCAGGTCCAGGTGTGTTTCTACATGTGAGTACTTATCTCTGTCTGTGTGAGTTTGTGAGACTGGCGACTTTCTCTAACGCCCTGCTGCATAATTATTGTGTTGCATGTGTCTTAATTTCGTGTCTGGTGCTTCGCAGTGGCCCTTGTGATTGTTTCTGAATCAGAGATAATCACAAGGGCCTGGGATGCCCTATGTGTGACTTTGTGTTCTGAGTATGCCTCTAACCACCAGCGTTAGGCCGTCAGCTGTCTGTGTGACCTGTATCTATTTCTAACACCCACTGAGATCTGTCTGTACCCCGTTCCCAGGTCCGCCGCCCGGCGTGCCCCCGATGCTGCTCCGACCTCCCCCGCCGGGCCTGCGTCTGCCGCCGGGACCCCCGCCCGGCCTGCCGCCCAGGATGCGGCTGCCGCCTGGACCGCCGCCAGGTGAGAAAGGAAGGGAAGGGGGGGAGGGAATGAGAGGGCGAGTGAAGAGGGATGGATGGACTACCACAAGGTCAGATATATCTACTGACTGACGGACAGGCGGACGAAAAATGAGGAATGGACGGATTTACGGTAATTAATAGAGGCACGGACGGACTAGCGGTGCGACTCAGATAAACGGATGATGGTGGACGAGTTAGATGGCAGTAGCCATCTGGGACGAAAGGGCGGACAGGCCGTCCCAAGTCCCAACTCAACGAGGCTCAGCGAGTGGTGGTAGGTAAAATAAGATAATCAGTGGTAGGAGGTGAAAGTTGCGTTAAAATCAGTAACGATTATGGTCAACTTGATTCATGATTTTCCAACCACCAGTAACGCAGTCTCTGTGGTTCGAATGACGCAGCCTCTGCCATATGTCTAACACTCTGTCTCCCCCACAGGCGTGCCACCGCGGATGATGCGTCCTCCAGTACTCCCTGTGACTGCTGTGACTGGCCAATGACTCTGTCTCTGTACTAAGTCTGTATCATATGTCTAACACTCTGCCCTCCCCCCCCCCCCCCATAGGTGTACCTCCGCGGATGATGGCGCATCCTCCAATACCTCCTGTGACCGCGCTGTGACCCGCCAATGACTCTGTCTCTGTAGTATAACACTCCCTTCCTCTTACAGGCGTACCGGCCGCGGATGATGCATCCTCCAGTTATACCTCCTGTGACTGCTGTGACTCGCCAGTCTCTGTCTCTGTAGTATAACACTCCCTTCCTCTTACAGGCGTACCGGCCGCGAATGATGCATCCTCCAGTTATACCTCCTGTGACTGCTGTGACTCGCCAGTCTCTGTAGTATAACCCTCCCCCGTCTCCCCACAGGCGTACCTCCGCGGATGATGCGTCCACCAGTACCCCCGGTGACCGCGCTGTGACCCGCCAATGACTCTGTCTCTGTAGTATAACACTCCCTTCCTCTTACAGGCGTACCGGCCGCGGATGATGCATCCTCCAATACCCCCTGTGACCTCACTGCTGTGACTCGCCAATGACTCTGTCTCTGTAGTATAACCCTCCCCTTCCCCCCACAGGCGTGCCACCGCGGATGATCCGCCCTCCAGTACCTCCAGTGACTGCTGTGACTCGCTAATGACTGTCTCCGTAGTATAACCATTTCCCGTCTCCCCACAGGCGTACCTCCGCGGATGATGCGTCCACCAGTACCCCCGGTGACCGCGGCTCCGCCCCCCTCCAACCCAAACGTGCTCTCCGCCGGGCCCCAGCTGAGAGACAACAAACAGTCGGCTACCATCGAGGCTAAGCCGCAGATCAGGTGAGGTGGCGGGAATGGCACGGGAAGAGGAGAGGGAGGAGGAAAGCAGAGGGCTGGGACAGAGCAAAGGGCTGACATTTCACGATTTCTTCTGCCTGTGGAGGTCAAGATGAGGGGAGGAAAGGAAAGGAGAGGAGAGGAGAGGAGAGGAGAGGAGAGGAGAGAAGGCTCATATATGCATAACCGGATGTAAAATGTGTGCTAGATCGTCATTGCTGCTCATATTGGGGTCAAGCGACATGGTTTGCAGTTAAATCGTTGAAACCACAAAAAAATGTTGCGATGTGCTTTTCCGTTTCACCGTAATTTCATACCATATGATAGGAGCGCTGTTGGTTAGAGTGCTGATTCATTTTTTTATTTTGTGCTGATCATGTTCTGATGTAGGTCATTGGCCTAAATGTGCGTACCCGCGTCGTGCCGTGTTGTTTCTTTAGCCCTCCCGCAGTGTTTGTCCGGAAGCCCGTTATGTTTGCTGACGGATGTTTGTTCGGCTGGACAGGAACCTGGGCGCCGACGTCACCCGGTTTGTGCCGTCCGCTCTGCGGATCAAACGAGACGACAAACACAGAAAGGACAAGAAACACACAGGTAAGGAGCGGCGGGGATACATGATCTTTTTGGTGTACGAGTCGGCATTTAGCTTTTCCGTTCAAGGATCCTCCATCCAGGAGTTGAAGGACGGTCACAAACTACTGCAGGAGGCTGTAAATTAACGCACAACCCGTTAGGCCTGGAGTCTATGCTGCCTATAAAAATGTTCACTTCAGTTTGACTCCTAGTTCCTACCCTATTAGTAATACGCCTACATGTGGATGCTTCAGACATCTATTTTAGTTGATGATTATGAATTTTAAGTAATAAGCTTTCACATTTTTATTTCTGTGCCGATGGAATAATAGTGGTGAACGATGTCATTTTCATTACATTTTATTGTTGGGTATAGTTTTCATACGAAACTGTGCGACGGATGACGGGGCTCGAACTGAAAGGTCACTGGCCTCCCATGTTGGCCCCGAAAGGTCAGATCCGTGTGATGTGGAAGAGTGTCGGTCGAGGACGGGGAAGGGAGGGGGAGGGGAGGGAGAGTGCGGGCCCCGCTACCCACACCCGAACAGTGACGTGTCCTACGCGCCGTCCTACGCGGCGTCAGTCAGGCGTCAGCTGACGTGCGGGCTGGGGTGACGTGTTAGCTGACGTAGCGGTGACGGTAAAATGTTAGTGTGCGCAAGATTCCTTTACTACTCAGGTTGCTTCACTAGGGAAATAAAGGCGCCGTGGTGACGTCATCAGAGGAAATCCTTCACGTTCAAATGAATGGGTCATTTGCATTGCTGATTTTGGCTCGATATAGTCCTATTCTTTTAGTTTCAACCCCATTTATCGTAATGAGGCGAACTCATCGTTACATTGATACCTACAACTTTTGATGACACATAATCCTTGTTTTTTTTTCTCCAGCTCGCTCGAAAGATGATTAAATTTGCATGCATGCCTATGGGTGAAGGGAGATTCTACCGCCGTGGTGACGTCACGGTAAAGAGATTCTGGAGCTCGTGAACGGGGGCCGTGCGTGGTCGCCCCAAATGTTAATAGAATATCGTCCGCATGGGCGGAAGATCTTACTTGGAGCGTGAGCAAATGTGCTTGAAAACATAGCATTTTCACGCTTGTATGCTCGCTTTTAAAAAGTACCAATGCGCTTGCGTTTTTTCTCCCATATATGGTGGTATGTAAAACTGTAGATAAAAGTAAAGAATGCTAGAGTAATAATACACTTGATTTATACGATTGAAGTAAAATTTGTAGGATATGTATAACAATGCTCCCCCACCCACCCTCCACCACGTGTCATTTCGAGGACTGCTGTGCCACCGCCAATATCGACCGACATCCGTGTCAGCATTTCCCCATGTGTCAAGAGCTGTGTGGTGAAATGACACGTCGACACAGCCGGGGCCTCACCACGAGCGGTGCGGTGCGGGGGCCATATGGGGTATAGGTACGCCGTACCGGCAGTGGTTCGCTAAGCCTGTCAGTTTATGGCACGTGGGTGGCTCTGCAGGAACCCCCTGTCGGTATTATGAGATTCGGCCTCGATCAACTAACATAAAATTTATGGCGTGCCAAATGTGGTCAATCCATACATTTTTATGGTTTTTATCCTTCGCCTCCATGTTTCGTTGAACTGAGTACGCCTACCGTTTGTACTGCATTTTCGAAATAAATTAGCATGTTTCAATGTCACTTCAATACCTGATTCGACCTCTTTTGGGCATTTACTTCATCATGCCAAACTCTCCCTTTTTTAAAAAATCATGAGCCAGTGACACAGGATCCAAGTCAGAATGCTTCCCCATCCAGAGGATTTGTTTTTCATTTACAAACGAGGGGATATGACATTCCCCCTTGACACAGTATCAGTACCATAGTATCGTAGTATCGTCATCACAGTCTACGCCTTACGGTCTGCTGAAACTCTGATAACTAGGCTGTAAATGTGCCTTATCACATGTTCTGGCACTGTGACCGATAAGGACACTTCCTGCCAGCCAAAGCTTGGGCGAGTGCGCGGACACCCAGCAGCTAAACATGCCGGTATATGGGCCCAATCTGATAAAGTGTCGTACTTTGCTATTCAAGGTATTTTGTAACACACGTATCATGATTCTGGTGTTGGCCATTACGTATCCGGGTTAGCGAAATAATTAATGAAAACGTCAAAATACGATGGGCTGAAATGCGAGGAACTATTTTGCATTTACCACCGTTTACTGTACATAGTTTAACTTCAGCCAGCATTGCCTACTTTTATTCGCGGCACTTTGCTGGATTGGGTCTTGGCGTGGCGTTGGGTTGGTGGGGAGGGGGCGGGGTTACACACTGTTCCGAGGGGCGGAAGGCGTGGGAATGTATGCCGCCATGCAGCTGCCACAGAGGCTCTATGATAAGTGAGCTTATCTGTCGAACGCATTGGTCGTTCTTGCTCCAAGTTGGGCTGTGTGCTAGTGCATTGTCATTCTGGTCAGACGTGACGTTGTATTTGTGTAACACAGGATCCGACGTTGTGTTCAGTAACGTGGACGTAAAAGTTTATGAGACGTGTAAAATGTCTGGAAGTCGTTTCTCCTTTATTCTGACGAAACATGACCGCTTGGCTACACCGGAGTTGATTTGTCCCAGTCATGGCTACGTCCCTAACGAGCCATGAGTTGACATTCGGGGTCCCCAGGTCTGTCCATTTGTCTCTTCGAAACTGACCTGACGGCACCTGAGATACTTCTCCATTTTTACTCAATTCCCAAGCGATATTCAACTTGCTCCACACCTTCTCAGGCTAGCCACGCTTTTTCAACGCCCTCAAAATCACCCTACTCAGATGCCCCTCCCATTATGACCAAAGTCTCTAACTACACCTGAGCTAACCTGTCATTCTTTTTCTCCCTCAGAAACGAGTGGCGAGGCGAGCGGCTCTCAGCCTCAGCAGAAGCCCACCAAGGACGACGCGTACGCGCTCTTCATGTCCGAGATGCAGGGACTCCTGTAGGCGGCAGGCTCTACCGCTTGGTGAGATGATGCAGACTCCTGCAGGCGACAGGATCTACCGTTTGGTGATGCAGACTCCTGCAGGCGACAGGATCTACCGTTTGGTGATGCAGGAACTCCTGTAAGGCGGCAGGTTCTACAGCTTGGTGCTGACTCCTCTAGGCGGCAGGCTCTACTGCTTGGTCTTCGCTGTCTTGGTCTCCATCTTCGACATCAGCTGTGTCTGCTCTACCGTCTCGGATATCGGTCTGCGATGCCAACCGTGTTTCCGAGGTCGGTGCTTAAGTGTGTAAAGCACAGTGGCTACTGGCGCGAGAGCTATAGACTACGTTTCTGAAATGTATGTTGAGTTCAACGTGTTAGTTAGTTGGCATTTGCGAATGTCGCAACACAAGGTGACGAGCGTTCGTGCGCCTGTGGAAAAACATTACCATTACGCCAGATGTGTGATTTGAGTGTGAGTGCGAAAAGACGTTTGAAGATGCTGGCAGCCTTTGTATTAAACTGGCGCCCTAGAATGTGACCCTTACATACGTGAACATTCTTAACATCAACGTAATTCACATGTCAATGGTCATAACTTTGTCTCTGTAAATGAGCACATCTAGGATGAGTTATAGCTGAACGCTGGCAGTATCAGACTATAGGCTACTGAACACTTTAACCGATACTCCAGAGTTCAGAATGTCCCGACTCAAGTAACGAGTTCCCACGAAGACAGCCATTCCGCCGCCTCTATGATACGCGAGCGTGGACCTGTTCCAACTATCGGACTCATGTCGAACGTAGGCAACGTCTTGCAGCTCGGAGTCGCTTCAACAAGTTTCAGCGAAGGCAACGTAGGTTCTCAAAGCCACAGAGAGAGCGACTACAAACCTGATATAGAGCGGGCAGCCGGGCAGTGACCTGACACGGTATGGGCCACGTGCTAGGTCAGGAACGGACCCCGGAAAGGCGCGACCACTGGTCGTGGCCTTGCTCTAGACTTATCGGGCCGCTAGAACGGGACCGTGAACCTGTTGTTCCACGGCCCTTTTTCAGTGTGCTAACGGGGGCATCCACCGTTGTAATTTAGTGTCTTGTCCGATCACCATGCGTTTGCTTTGAAATATACCAGTATTTGGTTCGCTGAGTGGGTATTACAATCATGATAGTGGTTGACCGACTTTCGTTTGAGAACACCGTTTACAGACCGTGGAAACATTGCCAGATTAGCCCCCTGATTGCGCTACGTCGCTTCTCTTATGTAACCTACGGAGTGCGAAATGCTTGAAGCAAATAGCGATGTGGATGGTACCTGGGTATGTCACGTATGTGTATGTATTGAAATACCGTGTCAGGAACTAGAGCCTTTGAGTTTCAAACGTTACTCGCGCTCTAAAAATCCAGCTGCAAAAACACCTGAGCATTGCGATGTCCCCTACGATACCCACCGGTTGTGGACTGATAGGAGCGATCGAGCTCGATAGAAACAGGCTGTAAGATGGCCATCGCACCCACAGCTGGTTGTGGAGAGCATTTGGCGAGCATTTCCTGGTGATCGAAGGTGGGGGAAGGGGGGGGGGCGTGGGGAGGGGGACTTGATTGGCGGAGTGGAGGGAAGGGGCTGTCAAGTGCCAGATGTGAAGTAGGCGTTTGGGCACGAATCGTCGACTCCATCGGCGCAGGCGTGCCCTATGCCCTCTCGTAGCTCGCGTCTCCTGTGGGATTTTATGGAGTATTTTAGTGGGAAATATTTTATAATGAAGGCGTAACTAGGCATGGGCACATTGGGCAGATATAGGGGACTACGCGTTCGTATGGGCAGCGGGACGCCAAAAAAGAAGACGCCCCTTTCGCTCTCATGCAATTTGCATGGGCGGAAGTCGGTCACGGGCTGGGCTGGGCCATCCGTTACCCATGAGCGGAGTGACCCCATGTGGAGGGTGGTTCTTACCATTACACGGACCATCAGTCTGAAATTTCCATGGACGGCATGCAAATAACCGTTTAACCCCTGAACTCAGAGGCATTATGTAATGGTCCTTCGATTTCAATGCACTGTTTGTCAATGTAATTTATTTCAATGTAATTTGCTGAGTTTGAATTTTATTTTCTTTTCAATGTCATTATAATTTTTCGACAATGAAATTGCTTCGTAATCTTCTCTTCATATGCCCCATAATGGAACAACCGGCCACAATCCCAGCTACCTTTCCCTGCCTTGATTCCCCGCAGGTGTTGTCATGAACACCGCGCGCGGCCCAGCTGGGGCCCTGGGGTATCGATCTTACTCCCCCCCCACCCCCCCCACCCCCCACCGACAGACGGGCGGCCACTTCGGTCCGCTGCGGGCGGGCGGTAGGGGGGGGGGGAGGGGGCGGGGGCGGTGACCCGTGCGACACGAGGGCGAAAAGGTCATCCGCTGTCGGTCTAGTATGGCGTGGTGTGATGATGGCTATTTGGTAGGGACGCAGCACTCGTGTGGGCAGCTCATCGTTTCGCTCGTTTCATGTGATCGTGGCAAAATAGCTTTTGACGTAAATTCATGGATGGCTTAAGTTTGGCAGAGGCTTTTGGAAGAGCATAAGATGTTTTGAAGTAAACTTAATGCAGCCTTTGTCTAGATTGCGATAAAATTAAACCGTGAAACTTGCGAGCCGCGGCCCATATTAGGGTGCAATTCATCTCATAAGTCTGTTCAGATAACTTTCGATGATTCAATGGCTATGTATAGCTCATCGGTCTGTCTTGTGTCGAAGGCTATATCGAGCCCAGTGCTATATTGGGAAGATTCACTGGCACATTTAAGAGAGTTAAGCGTTGTGAGGAAAATCATCATGATGATTATGAACATATTTGATTGACCAAATCCTCAATATAATCTGAATAAAAATGACAAATTAGCAAAATTCGGGTATATTCGATCACAGATCTTTGTTTGATCTTTGTTTGTTTGATCACAGATCTTTGATCTTAGGGTTGACAAAGATCTGTGATCGAATATACCCAAAATTTGCTAATTTGTCATTTTTATTCAGATTAAATTGAGGATTTGGTCAATCAAATATGCTCATAATCATCGAGATTCGCTGGCATTGGAGCGAACATCAAACCGTTCCAGCAAAATGATAAACCATGCATTTCGGCGGGCGATGCAATTTATAAGCCCTCCTGCGATTAGAAGAGACACCAAAGGGAATCGCGCCTTTTAGCTTATCGTAAGCAGAAGACTACATATATTGGGTATATAGGGCCTTGCTGTATTGGTGACCGTCCAATGCACATGTATGCCTACTTCGTTATTCCAAGGCGACGGGTCACACTACAAAAGTACGGATCGTATATCGTCGATGGCTCTTTGAGCTAACATTCCAGCCTGGTCGGTCAGTTCGAGACCAGGCAATCCCCGGTTTGATGCCCTATCAGCAAAACCGCAAAAATGCACTCGTTTGCTACCACATGCAGCGAACTAAAACCGGTGCTTGCAAACTTGCAAAATGTGCGCTACGCTTGCGTGCACTAGAGAATAGGTCAGCTACCAGTGTGGACTGCTGAGGCATTGTTTATTTAGTTCCGTTCGTAGCAGCGCAGCCCGCAGTGTTTTCGCTCTGCGTATAGCGGATACGCCAGCCCGTCTGGTCTGCAAGAGACCCGACAAGCGGACAGCAAAACTCCCTCAATAACAGTCGCTTTCGTTCGTTTGAATGGCTGTAGTTTCGAAGCGTAGCGTAGGTTAGGCATCCAATAGTGTCAAAACTTGCCATCTTCGGACTTACTGTACCGGTACCAAGACCGGTACCAAACAGGCAAACCCGAGCGTTATTATACCATTTCGTAAGACGTAAAACCGTGGCGGTTATCCCATCACCGAACGGGCTGACGAAGCATTCCTCCTCAGCCGATGTCTCACGCTGGTCTGATAAAATGCCATCGACCCCGGCGGCTCAGCCGCGGTATAACGGTGTGCGGGGAACCCGAGCGGACGGTCGAGCCCCGCCCGTGCGGCGATTCGCCCCGCTTCCCTCGCTAGCCTCCTGACGCCGCCCGGCACACCTTTCAGGGCGGGCGGTGACGCATGACGGAAGGCTGGGTGGGAGCTTATCGTAGCCCGTAGGTCCTGGAAACGCAGAGCAATCAAAGGTTCCAGAAACACCTCGCAGACATCTCAGCCTAAGGCAGTTTTCCGGCGATATTCTCGGTCTTCTCACAAACTTATCGCCGCTTTCCCAAAGGCCTTTCACAATTCTCCCATGGGCATCCGAAGTCTCCCAGAAGTCATACAGCTCTTCATCCCACAGGCTATTCAGAGCCTCCTCCGCTCCTACCTAGAGCCTTCCACAGTCCACACTGCTCCCTAGGTCTCCCACCTTGGTCCCAGAAGCCCATCAGTACTCTCCCAAAGCCTCAGTTTTTCCAACTCCGCCATAAAAGCCTCGTTCACCTTTAGTCGCCATGTATTCGTCGCTGAGCCAACAGGAGTTCGGAAAACATCTGGTCATCCATCGCACCGTGCAGGTTCACCCAAACGAGCGCCCGCCGGCACTGCCGTCCGCCGCGCGCGCTGCCACGCACCAAAAACCTTCGCCACGTGACGGAATCTCTTCACAAACACAAGAAATCGCTTCACCCGGTGAAGGTATTCCCGCGCGGGGCAGCCGCGGCGGGCGGCGACGCCGGCGCAGAATTTGAAAGACGAACTGCACATTTAGTGTAAATCCGCACCGAACGATGGTGTAAATTTCACTCCGCGGACAGGGAGCCCATGGGGATTTATCGACCGAGTTGTGACTCGACGGGGTCGTATCAGACGCCCTCAACCAGACACCCGCCGCACAGCGGCCCGTCTCATAAATATTCTACACACAACACGAATAAAACCACCGACGCCGCAGTCACAGACACCGGAATTCTACGCATGCGCGTGTAAAAACTCTGTGGAAAGGGCCCGCCAACGGAAGTAGACAACAAGCAACCAGCGGTGCAAAACAAAAAACCAGCAGTCTCTCTTTCTCTCACTCTGTTACAAAATATGCCCTGTGTCACTGGTGGACGAGGCCACCCCCATAATGAACGTTGCACAGATCAAATTCACGTCCCAGTCCCCGCCCCCACTCTTTAGCAGACCACGCCCAGTGGCCGCGGACCGGGCTGCCAGCCAACGTATCAAAAATAGGCCTTTTGCGGCTGGCGTACGCAGCTTTCCGGGAAGAAAGGAAAGGATGCCGCTCACGGGCGGCCTCACGCGGCTGAAGGAGATCTACAACTCGTCGTGCTTTCCCTCATCCTCTTCCTCTTCTTCCTCCTCCTCTTCGCCCTCCTGAGGAGCGAGAAAAGGGCGTGAGGACACTGGCAGACATAGTCGCTGGTACAGCGGGCGTAAAGGAACACACACAGAAAAGGTTACAGACGGCTCAAGCACCTGTTTTTGATCGTGGTAAATGAAAAATTCTGAACCAGAAAAAAGATGTACTTCACAAAGTAATAGGTAAAAACTGAGCTCTTTTCATTACGATTCGTAAAGTTAATAATTTAGCCAACAAAAACCGGGAAACTTCTGAAAGATTTTATCAAATAAAACACTGAAGATCGTGATGACGAGGCCATACTGTAAAAACCTGTCTAGACGCAACAATATTGACAAAAGAAGAATGCCAAGCACATGGTTTCTGCAATGCCTCAGAAAGCGCACAGCGATGCCAGGTTAGCGGCAAACATCACCAATTCCAGCACCGCCAGAAGCCAATATTGCATCATGCAGCGTCCTTCCACCGCGCCGGAGGCAGCCCCCGTAACCGCATACATACCAAACCATTGCCGTTATGGTTTGTATAATCACCACCGGACCCTACCCACTGTTACCCGAACGTCCGTGTGAATCATGCCAGTGTTATGTTTGAATGTCATCCCTTCGTAGTTGAATGCCATTCTTCCAACGAGCAGGTATGGGGCAATCGGTTAGTCACGGTCAAGGGACAACTTCCGTCCCGGATGCCTCAATCGACCGAGTGATTGTTGGAACGGTCCCGTCTACTTGATTAATACTTATTTTTCCCGTAGGTGTGCTGGGTTTCAACACTGGGATGACGCCTAACAGCTGGCGAGTCATCGCAGCCGCTGAGACCACCTATAGCCCGCGCACAATATCCGGAATCCAGCCGCTCGCATCTGGCCAAACTACCCTCCGCACCTGTCTCCGCTCTCCCCGGGCCACATTCCTCCCCGCTCTACCCGCGCCGCCCGCAGACCGGCAAACCGGCTGGGCTACGTGGCGTTCGAGGTCCCTGAACCGAGCGGCGTGGGCCACGTCACGGCGACTGCCGCGGCCGGCGCGGCGCGGCGCGGCGCGGAGCCGACCGGCCGGCCGGCTCAGGGGGCGTTCACCCGTACCGGGCGGTGACCTTGACGGAGCAGACCGACAGACAGACAGACCAACCGGCCGGCCGGCGGCAGTAGAGGCATGGAGCCGACGCGACCTACCAGCCGGCAGGCCGACCGGCTGGTAGACTGTCGCCCGTACGGCTAGCGAGGCGTCGGCGCGGGCGGCGACGAGGCGGCGGGCCACGGTTAGCGGGTTAGTCTTCCGGTCCACGGGTGGCGGCGGCGCACCGGGCGGGGGCGGGGGCGGTGACCGACCGTGACCGTGGCTGCCCGCCGCAGCCCATCGCCCGCCGCCGCCGGGCAGATCCATGCGGCTACCACAGTTGTGGCTATACATGGGACCTCCACCGGTAGCCCACAGCACACAAAGCCTCGGCCGGTCGACTCCAGCCAACCCGACCGTCAATAAGCCTGGACGATCTCAGTAGCTCAGGCCTCATGCCACCAAAAATAGAAAACCAATTTTCGTTGGGCGTTACACCGAAATAACCCCATTTTAAAGCTCCTAATGTCGGTAGTCAGTAACTCAACATGCCGCGCTTCGAACAAGTGAGCGATTCATGCAAACTCTTCAGTGTTATTGGGATTAAATCGCAGTTTCATTCCCGATTCCATGAAGTTGAGAGGTTGGACGGACAAAGCAAACTAATGACGGACGGACGAAACGAGCAGATGTTATTTAACCGAGCCACCTTCACCTGTGTTATAATGAACATACAACCACCTCGCCGGCATGGTGTACTCACCTCTTCTTGTTTGCCCTCGAGGAACTTAGTGAATCCGTCCAGAGTTCGCTCGCCGTTGTAGTCTACGACCTACAACCAAGGAAAGCGGTGCTCAGCGTTCGCCAAGAACACACTGGAGCACTAGTGGAGCACACTAAGCGGGGGTTCCCAGGGGTGGGCAAGCGGCACAGCACACATACACAGCGGCACCGCCGGTTGGCGGTGTAAGGTCAGGTCAGGTCACAGCGGCGGCTACTAAAGCTGTAGCCTGTTGTGCTGCACGGCAACTCTGCACTCTGGCGCTGCGTCCTGTGAACCCCGTCACTCCCGCTGCTCTACCTCTCCTCCCTCTGCCTCCTCCTCGTCCTCTGCCTCTGCCTCGGACTCGGTAGCCTTGCCTTCCACGCCGCCCGACTCGACGAACTTGACCAGACTCTCGAGTTTGCGGTCACCGCCGTACTCGACAATCTGCGCGCCGTGAGTGGCATATTGAAGACAGCGGTCATTTGGGGACGGGGTGGGCGACATTACTGCTTGGAGCTCTCATAAAAGGACACACCATGCGCCCTCGCTATTTTCGCAACGAGTATGAATTTATCACAAAGGTTATGGCGAACACTTATCAAAGCGGTAGGACGATAACTCGCAGAGGTGGTCGCATGCGGTGTCTTAGCGGGGTTGGTTAAATGCATGAAACTGCTGTTAAAGTCACTCGACTCAAAATCCACCAAGGATTAAACTTATCACGCTGATACTGGCTCCCCACCGAGCTGAACGTTACACCTGTCAGACCAATAGAGCGACAGGGGGGGGGAGAGAGAGGGTAGGTGGGGGAGAGGGAGGGAGGGGATGACGCAGCACCGACGCGGCACACGTGGCCACAGTCTCGACAGGCGCGACATTTGGCAGCCGGGCCCTCAGCACCACGTGGCACTTCAGGGCCCCACAGCTGTCCGTCAAACACCAGTCACAGGGCGGGAAAAAATGGCGCCAGCGCCGCACCGCGCCGTGTTGGTCAGATAGGACACGTCAGCACTGGGAAATAACGCGGCGAACCAAACACAACTGCAGGCTCAGTGCTAAATCGGGATACTTCGCACGATTTAGCACGACAAAGTGATAAACCAGCTGCACTAGCCTATGGCCAGCTACAAAATATCAACAGCGTGAGCCATGTTGTCTTAGAAGGTAACAACCAGCCTACTAAGAAGGAGCTTTTTTAAAACTCAAAGATATCAGCTTGAAACCTAAGAAAATAACTTCGGAATAAATATTGATTTACATAAATGATACGGGGAGCAGCTTTGCGCGAAAACCTTATAAACTCGCAATATTAAAACAATGAATCGCCAGACATAGATATTTTGAGTAGAGTCCCACCCTTGCCTACCATCTTCCCTTCAGCCCCCGTGGTTTGCCCACCTCGTTGGTCTCCTTCTTCCACAGTTTGATGGTGGGGAAGCTCTGGATCTTGGTGTGCTCCAGCTCGTTAGCAGTGGCGTCCATCTTGGCAATTACCACCGTCTCAGAGTCCTTGTACTTCTCACCCAGCTGTGGAGAGCAGAGGGGAGGGCGAGGTTAGTATGATGCTTGATGAACCAAGAAGAGCAGTCTTCACAGCAGGACGTGGCACAGTTAGCTTTTTAAAAGATACCTGCTAGGGACGGGAACATGCCATGTACACTTGCAGAGTGGTGGTTGCTTCGTTGTTTTTGGCAACTAGGCATCAAATAATGAACGATTACGGCTAAACGCCGAAAACTTGCTTGCAGACGAAAGACAGCAAACATTTTCGAAAACATCTTGACAATCATACAACACGAGCCAAAATTAACGTCTGTACACTATTCTTAGCCTCCAGGACCTTGAAGAACCATTCAAATCCTTCTTACCTCGTCATAGATGGGCACCAGCTGCTTGCAGTGTCCGCACCAGGGCGCGTAGAACTCGACCAGCACGTCCTTCTTCTTGTCCAGCGCCACCTCGTCGAAGTTGCTGGAGACGAGCACCTTGACGCCGGCCTTATCCCAGTCCTCGGGCAGGTCCTGGCTCAGCAGGTGCTGCTTCAGCTTGTCGGCCAGGAAGTCCTCCACGAAGGAGCGGATGGTGGCCTCCTCAAGGCCGGTCTTCTCCGGCTTGTACTTGGTCATGTCTTCCTCCATCTTGATGATGCGCAGGGCGGGCACCTCCTCGGCCTTCATGCCGAAGAACTCCATGATGCGGGCGTGATCCTCCTCGTCCGTGTCGATGGAGACGACCAGAATCTGGGTGGACGAAAGACGCGGTGCCGGTTAGAGATCTCACGATTCACGGAGCAATGAGCGGAGATGGCCGAGATCGGGTTCAGTGACCCCCAAGTGGCACAGTAAAACGATGTAACGTTGTGATCGACGAAACTTTAAAAGTTAATGCACAATATCCACGCACACAAGTGACATGACAGAACAGGCATGATTGGAAACCGATCGATCAACGCAAATTGCAATTTTTTCGGTCATTCAGTGAGTACATTTTTTATCAAAGAGCATCGTAAGGATAGCCCAGATTACAGTACCAATGCAATGTTTTGCCCTTCAAAGCATCACCATTCAAACACCAGATAACACTCGTAAGTGCTCCCCAAGGCAGTCCTCCCCCATTCACACGCACCTTTCCGCGCTGCTCCTTGGCCACAGCGGAGGCGGCCTCTGTGTGCTTGGCGAAATCCTCAGACTTCTTGCTCAGGAACATCAGCAGGTGCGCCTTGATCTCGCCGCCGAAGATCTTCTGAGCGGTCTCCTGATTGAACTCAACCACCAGGGGCAGCGAGTACTTGGCAATGAAGGCCTTCAGGTTCTCATCGTTGATGTCTCCCTCAAGCTCATGACGCTTCTCGTCGAAGGTCTTGATCATGACGACCTTGCCGTCGGCGGCCTCGTACTTGCTGATGACATCGTCGGCAGAGCTGATGACGAAGGGGTAGTCGTCGACGCCGCCGGCGAAGCTGAGGAAAGCCTTGGCATCCTTGCTCTCCTGGTCCTTGAAGAAGCCGACGATGACGACGTCCTTGCCCTCGATGGCCTTCTCAGCGGCCTCGACCGTCTCAACGTTGGTCGCCGGCGGGCCAGTCTTCTTCTTCAGCCAGTTGACGATCTCGTCCTTGGTGCGTCCGCCGCCGTACTCGCTGTCCTTGCCGTTGCGGAAGAACTTGAGGGTGGGGTAGCCGCGCACACCGAACTTCTGCGCCACCTTGTCGTGCACGGTGGCGTCCAGCTTGGCCAGCTTCACGTTCGACTCCTCCTTGGCCAACGCCTGGGCCGCCTTGGCGTACTCGGGGGCGAGGGCTTTGCAGTGTCCGCACCACGGGGCGTCTGCGGCACAGAGAACGTAGCGATAAATATCGGACCATATTGATCGCAGAGTGCGCAGAAAAAAAAAACACTTGAAAAAATAGTTGTCAACTGAGAAACAAATGCATAAAACAAATGCTTGCACTTCAACAATAACTTCTGGGACACCCAGGATTAGGTATCTGTTGAGCAGTCCTTACAATATAAAGAGAACATTGATCAAGTGGACCGGCTGCCCATTAACAGAGTTGGGCCAAACAAAAGTGGGTGTCAATATCAATAAAGGCAGTTCCTAGAGCGATGATATTCTAAAAGGCTCAATATTTCAGTTATAGTGGATTGCTGTTTCTAAAAAATAAAAAAAAACATCTCATGGCATTAGCAACTACTAAAGCCTGTTATTAGTTCCAGTTTAGTACTATAACCAGGTTCAACAGGGTAGTGAACATGAAGCAAATAGTGTTTTCAGCACCACCTGCTAAGCCAAGAGTGATAAAGGGCAGCACTTGGGGCTACAGCCATCAAAATTGTGGGCAGCACTCCTCATTCCATTTGATGCAAAGTGCTGATGAAACCAAGTTGAACTGAAACTGTTCTGATGCATTGTTACCTAACTGCACATAACACTGGCCTCAATCTTAGGCATCAACCTGCAATCTGATTCTGAAATATCAAAAAGATTTTTTAAACAAGCTAGGCAACAAAACATCCCTTGTCTACAGCTCTGGCATCCAGATACATTCTTCCAGTCTGGGAAACAAAATCATATGAGTTCCAGCCATTCTTTATGACCACAATATGGTGAATACTGCACAGGATGGTCAGACATATACCTACAAAGTGCCAATCGTCAGCTTTGGGATGGAGCAAATTTCTACATGCCATCTACAAAACTACAGAACTGATACCATCTAGAAAACTCTTGCAAAGCTTGGTGCTTCTGATGCCGCCAAAATAAAGGGCCAAAAAAGCTTTAATCCTGTGACTACAGTCTTCTGCAGGTCACCAATGCCTACCTCCTAAGGACCTGTGACAATGGGCAGTCATTTCTACCCTAATCCTTACTCAGCCTCTTATCAATAATTTCTCAATAATAAGCAGTGCATAAGTTAAAGGTGCTGGCAGTAACAGCCAGAACAGCACTATGATTGCATGAACAGCACTACTGAAAATGGTCCCATGGGCCTCAATATCCACCAAAACCAGTCAAAATTGTTGCCGCCATCACACATTTTTTGCAATGCTGGTGGAGATTAAGGGCCTGTTCCAGCACCTCCAGTAGAAATTCTTGTCTGGAGGATCTAATAGGAAGTTAAATGGAAGCACAGGAAGGCAATCTGGAGATTTCTGGAGGTCAGTGTTGGGGATACCAAAAGAATGATTACAGCTCACTCTTGAAAACAAAAGTTTTTAGTTTTAGCAAAACAGTAATGTAATTTTCATTACATTTGACTTGTAAAATTCACCGTGAAAGTCCTTTGAGAACATTTGTAATTGTCATATATGCGCCATAATTGTAAACCAAAGCCGACAGTGAACCTCCAGTCAAATGTGGACCTCGCAACTGACTCGAGGCTACCACTACTGGAGGTTTCTGGAGCTTTGGCAAGAGCTTTATGGAGCTTACTGGAGTTGCTGGAATGCTGAATGGAAAAGTCTAGAACATTTGGTACTCTCTTAGCAGACGTCACCCGAGCTGCCATATCTACGTCTCACGTGCGCAACAATTGTCTTTTCACGGTTAAATACACAGCAAAACATAATCTAACCTGACCTAACCTTACCTACAACCAACAACCTACAACCTAACCTACAAACCTACAACCTAACCTAACCTACCAACCTACAACCTAACCTAACCTACCAACCTTCCAGTCTGCAAAACGTGGCAGGGTTCGACGAGATCTCGTCGGGGCAGACACAGTGGGGCAGGGGCAGATATCGGGGCAGCTTTTGAGAAATCGGGGCAGCGTTCGGCAATTCCGGGGCAGACCGTCTGCAGTCGGGGCGAACCGGGGCGGGGTGCACGCTACCGGTGGAAAATAATAAAGAAGAAGAGTATTGTTGAAACGCTCGAGAAAAAGTGGGCTGCGCCACAAACGTCGCTGAAGGGCAGAAATTGTCATTCGTAACTGTTACCATATTCGAGTTTTCCCTTCATCGGGGCTATGAATGTTTTACGCGCCGTGTTTCGTATTAGCAACCAAGGAAAGGCGCTACCCGGAGATACTCCTTTCTAGCCTCACCAAACCAAATCAAACCAAACCGAACCAGACCAAACCTGACCTAATCGAACGCTCGTAAATGTGCTGTATAGCCCTCACGATGATTGCCGTCTGGCCAAATGATATCCACATTTCCACTTAGAAACGAACGCGTGCTAAAACGCTTAACTGACCGGCTGCAAACCCGCGGCCACGACCTACAGATTAAGAGACGAGCACACTCTGCACACTTAAAAATAAGCCACCAATTAGCTGATCATCGCCGAGACGAGGTGTAATATCAGTTTTTCAATGATGCATTGGGGTATTGTCCGGGTAGCGCCTCTCTTTGGTTGCAAAAACGAAATGCGCCCCTCGCTGCCGATTGATTCGACGTTGCCATGGCAACATGAGGCAGTTTTGCACCCCAATTGTGTCATCATCACATTTTAAGCGGAACACTAGCCGCTCTATATAATATAACCTTGACCAATGATCAGATCCTTTCGTAAAAAATTGTTTGAGTCTCATTACCGTGACCGACTTAAATTTGCGCGGGTGATGTATTGATATGTAGTTTTTATGCTATATATAGTACATTTAGGGCATAATCTAACCTGCCCGAAGTAGATGCCCCATTTGGGGCAGAAATTTGACTGCCCGGGAGGCTAACTGCCCCATTTGGGGCAGGATTCCGGCTGCCCCAAACACCTCGTCGAGCTGGCTGCCACGTTTTGCAGACTGGCCAACCTACCTAACTGGATATGGCAGCTCGGGTGACGTCTGCTAAGAGAATACCGAACATTCTGGTGGTGCTGGAACAGGCCCTAAGTTTTCTGCTTCTGCTATGGTCCTCCAGCAGTAAGCACCACTATTCACATGCACTAGGTTAAATGCAGGTGCAGTGCTGGGCACAGCTCATGGACACTAACTCATGAATCAGTTTTCAATAATCTTAAAAAATCAGCATTATCTCTATTCTCTTACCATATAACAAAATATCTTCTGATACTCGCATTATCATTTATGTTAATGACAGGAAGATGTGCCAATACCCAAACCAAGTAGGCAAGTTAAATTAATTATCAAATTAATGAAGAAAATGAAGAAATGCAGCTAACTTGTTTGGTAAAATTTGTTTCACTTAAGAATGACAATTGACAGGTAAAGGAGCACTACTGCTGTTTTAATCATATTTCCAGCATTCAGTCCTGTTATTGTGCATTTTAATATCTTAATGCTTACTTCATAGTGGACGTAAACACGTGGGAGCACAGAATCAGTCAGGGAAACTATGGTAAAATCTGCTATTTTTAGCAGTCTGCTATTTTAAGCAGAAATCTGCTAAAAATGGGTACGCATGTGACGTCATCGTACCCAAATATAGCAGATTTGGGTACGGCCCCCGACAAAAGCAGATCTGCACCCTAATTGAAGCAAATGCGCATCAAATGCCTGGCAGATTCATGATTAGAATAGTGCTGAGAATGTCCTCTGATATTTTTGTTCAGATCCGACTATTTTTAAATAAAGAATTTGAAAATAGTCGGATCTGAACAAAAATAGCAGAGAACACTCTCAGCACTATTCTCATCATGAATCTGCCAGGCATTTGATGCGCATTTGCTTCAATTAGGGTGCAGATCTGCTTTTGTATGGGGCCGTACCCAAATCTGCTATATTTGGGTACGATGACGTCACATGCGTACCCATTTTTAGCAGATTTCTGCTAAAAATAGCAGACTGCTAAAAATAGCAGATTTTACCATAGTTTCCCCGACTGGAATACTCACAGAATTCCACAAGAATGAACTCATGACCGCTGATCGCTTCGTCGAAGTTGTCGTTGGTAAGAACCAACACTCCTTCGTCTTCCTCGATCGCTGCATTTGCAGACACGAACAAAACGCACAGTGACAGAATCAACCTCATGATGAAAACACTGCAAGCCCCCTTCCGATCAAACTTGTGCCAAGCGGTGAAATGGGAATATCGTGGGACGAAAACCTCCGAAAAGCCGGCTCCGGCGGCGAACGTGGCAGTCGCTTGTCGTGTGATGGCCTCATTGGCTCAGTATGCGCATGCGCAGTCGTTAGCGTCATGGCTACTGAAAATGGGAGAGTCTACCGATCAAATTAGAGAGCTAGGAATAAAACACAAGGCCCTTTGCAGCAAACATTGCAGAAAATATGAACTTAAGCCGAAGCGGTGAAATAGGTAGCATTGTCTTGCGTTTCTTGACGTTTTTTAAGAAAACGAAAGTTTTCAATTTTCTCTTTGTAAATAATCCGAAGATTTTTCTCTTTGTAAATAATCCGGAGATTATTCAGACGAAGCAAAAATGCCTGCTGTTCGAATAGCATCCTCAATTGCTTGCATTCATATTTAAATCATGACCAATCTGAGGGATTCAGAAACTCCAAAAAACTGAGGAGGGACTTGAGTCTTGAACTACTGGAAATTCGTAACAAGGGCAAATTTGCCAGGCTCCTGGGAAATGCTTTAAAATACCGGGCTCCAGTAGGTAAAATCTGGCCACTTGAAATTCTACTGGAAGCAGTGGTGATGCAACGTCAACTTTCAAGAGCTACCAACTTTTGAAGTATTTCCCTACCATTTCCTTTGCAAACGTACAAACCAAACATCCCGTAACATTGCGACCGGCGACGGATGAGGGGTCACACTCAAGTCTCATTCATGTGTGAAACTGTTTCAGAACAGTGGTCAGTGCAGAGGTCGACAAAGTTCATGGAGTTTCTCCGACTACCGGCCAATTTTCTCCAGGTTTTTCTTCGACGATTGTGAGAAATGATGAATTTGGATGCCTATCCACGCAACCCAAAATAAGCCCTTGTTACACTGCCAAACATAGGCGCGGGAACTACTTTCAGACTGGGGGGGCACACCATAATGGAGATCAACCTAGGGTACCCCCAAATCTAGTTTTCTCACCGGTTTTAGGCCACTTATTTTTCATCCCTGGGCTTTAAAAAAAAACATTTGCAAAAAAGTGCGGTATTTCGTCTCAAAGTTGTGGGGGCACCGCCCCCACGGCCCTAGAGTTGGGGGGGGGGGCAAGCTGCCCCCACTGCCCCCCCGGCTCCCGCGCCTATGCTGCCAAATTTTGGTGCACGAATGTGCACGAATATGCGGCCATCCTATGTCGCGGACCGATTCGGGATCTTTCTTCTACGGTCTTGGGCCTTGGCATTTCGCAGACCATTCGGTGTCCACCGCGCGACTTTTACGGCTCGTCACGATCGCCACAATTTTTTTCGTGTGAAAATGAGAATTTCGTGGCCGTTCGCCGAACTTATGATAAACGAATATAATCGCCAAACAGTCGCCGAGTCGGCGCCGACATATCGCTGCGTGCGCTGACTTGTTGCAAAGGTATCGCCGACTATTCGCCACAGATTTGCCATTCATTCGCGATGCTCGCCGAATCATGGATCAGCTTCGACCCACGCACGAGTAGGGCCCCCCTCACCCGTTTTCTGCGCGGGCTCTGTCGGCGAACTGTTCGCCGATTTCCTACACGATGTGATTCGGCGACAGGGTCGTGACCAAAATTCGGCAGTGTAGCACACCAGTAGCGGCGGAACACCTTCAATTAAGGGGGGGGGGGGGCACTGCTGACTTTCGGTCCGATTTTTTCCATGCGACGCCCATAGGGCTAATGTTAAAATGCCAAAATTAAAGGGGGCACGGTGCCCCGGTGCCCTCCCCGTTCCGCCGCCTATGCAGCACACGCGCACCGTGCCGCACCGGCTGCACAAACATGGCGCATTTCCAAGTTCCAACGCATTCTATCGCCTCCAAATAATAAAACTGACGTTCTCGGTCCGCTCTGCACGGGCATCACGTTCACCTATTTTGGCTGAAGTAAGGTCGACCCCCCACTGACGAGTTCTCTCGAGAGGACCACCGCTTGCGTACTCACAACGGTGTCCCCTTTAGATGAGAAAAACTAGTTAGCTGAAAAATATCGGTGCTTCGTGTTGACGCGCACGCAGTCCTCTGCCGACTGAAACCCGGGTGTGTTTTGCTCCTGCGAGTCCCTCCCCCCCCCCCCTACCTTCCCCGCGGCCAGCGCCGGCCTCCTGCCCTTCTGCCCCGCGTCTCATCTCCCCTTTTTCCTAATCCCACTCCCTCCCTCCCTCACCGCGCGTCGCTGTCGGGCCCTTAGCAGGGGTCGGCAACCTACGACCCGGCGGGTTTGGATCCGGCCCGCGGCTGGCATCAGTAATTAACATTGTGTTCCGGTCCGCGGCTCCTGCGCGTGATTGTAACAAATTGTGACCATGCTCTGGCCCGCCGGCTGCTTCCAAATCACATATCTGGCCCCCACCCAAAAAAAGGTTGCCAACCCCTGCCTTAGCGTCTTTGCCGCTAAGGTGGCTATTTCCCGTTATTGAGACTTTTCTTTGTATTTGGAGAAATTCCTTCAGATTCGCAAAAAACATCGCAAGAATTAGCGACTATTATTGATAAATCTCAACAATTTTTCTCTTGTCTCAAGAGTTTGGCAGCTGAAGAAAACAAAGCGGTCGACAAAAACACCACTTTCTCCGACTGCCAATAAGAGCGATATTTGGTTATAAATTGGTAGGGAAACCGACCTTATAGGCACAGAGCTGCTTCTGACCGGATCAGACCAGCTCTGACTAGGGAGAAAGTGGAAAAATGGTAGAAAACTGTCATCACTTAATTGTTGCTCGTGCTGTTGTTAGTCGATGACATAGGTGTATGGATATAACAATCCTGGCTCTTAGAATTTCTTCCATGATATTTCCTTTCTTTTGTGATTTTCGCTCGTTTATTTTTCTCTGACTAGGGTCAGATGGTCAGAGATTTTATCGACCTCTGGGTCAGTGACCGGAACCAGGGGGGGGGGGGAGGTCGGGTGGGACAGTTGAAGAATGAAGGGATTTCCCTTCCGTCCGTGTGCGGCTTGTGTTGAACGAGGCCCGAGTTGCAGAACGCCTGTGCCGCCTGTGGTGGTTCATCTCCGTGAACGTTTCCACCGTTCAGCGGACAACTGATTCCGAGATTCGACTTGGGAATGGGGATGGGATCCCGGTATTTCTTAGGTCAGGACTGCTATGGTCCGTCAGAACCACAGAACTAAGGGAAAGGTTGCAAAGGTATGTCAGCTGGCAACTTAACTGGAAATTCCTGTTGATAGACCTGGGCCCAATCTTACCAATGCCGTAAATAGGATTTGGCAGCACTGGCCGAAGTTAACGGCACTGATATCACTTGATCTTGACACTTGACGGCACTTGATTAGGTGATTGCCTGTTTGAGGGAGGCTTCAAATAGGACGATAGGCAAAGCGTTAGGTTGTAATGCAAGGAAGGTTGTACCTTGGTTGTACCTGGCTAGAATGATCTCGTCAAGGAGTAACATACTTTATTAAGGGATGTTTATGCATTATGGGCGCTGATAGGCAAGCCTAGGGGTGGCTATATTTTTGATCAGATGCGTCTCGCTCGTTCACGATTCAAATTGTCACTTCGCTATTGTTTGAGAAATGAGAAGGAGCTTCGTGCAAAATCTCTCGCTGATAAGGGGGGTGTTCAAACACCCCCCCCCCCCCCAGCAGGGCGCGGGTTAATCAGAGTGGTTATGGATGCCACTATCAGGGCAGTATGAATCATTTTTATTATGCAGACGATATGGTTGTGTTATCTCCTGTGTTATTATCGTCTGATCGCAAAAATAATGGTCGCAATTGATTCCTCGGGTCAATATCTAACCTCAGTCGAAGGTTCCAGACCTGTGGCTCCTATCCTTCATCCCTTAATCGCCCCTTAAATGACGGGGCGCGTCAAAAAAGCCCCAAGGCTTCGTCTGATCGCCAAAATAATGGTCGCAATCGATTCCTCGGGTCAATATCTAACCTCAGTCGAAGGTTCCAGACCTGTGGCTCCTATACTTCAACCCCTAATCGTCCCTTAAAGGACGGGACGCGTCAAAAGTGCCTAAAGGCTTCGTCTGATCGCCAAAATAATGGTCGCAATCGATTCCTCGGGTCACTATCTAACCTCAGACGAAGGTTTCAGACCTGTGGCTCCTATCCTACATCCCTTAATCGTCCCTTAAAGGAAGGGGCGCGTCAAAAGTGCCCCAAGGCTTCGTCTGATCGCAAAAATAATGGCCGCAATCGATTCCTCGGGTCAATATCTAACCTCAGTCGAAGGTTCCAGACCTGTGGCTCCTATCCTTCATCCCTTAATCGTCCCTTAAAGGACGGGGCGCGTCAAAAGTGCCCCAAGGCTTCGTCTGATCGTCAAAATAATGGTCGCAATCGATTCCTCCGGTCAATATCTAACCTCAGTCGAAGGTTCCAGACCTGTGGCTCCTATCTTACATCCGTCCCTTTAGGGATGGGGCGCGTCAAAAGTGCCCCAAGGCTTCGTCTGATCGCCAAAATAATGGTCGCAATCGATTTCTTGGGTCGATATCTAACCTCAGTCGAAGGTTCCAGACCTGTGGCTCCTATCCTTCATCCCTTAATCATCCCTTAAAGGACGGGGCGCGTCAAAAGTGCCCCAAGGCTTCGTCTGATCGCCAAAATAATGGTCGCAATCGATTCCTCGGGTCAATATCTAACCTCAGTCGAAGCTTCCAGACCTGTGGCTCCTATTTTTCATCCCTTAATCGTCCCTTAAAGGACGGGGCGCGTCAAAAGTGCCCCAAGGCTTCGTCTGATCGCCAAAAAAATGGTCTCAATCGATTCCTCGGGTCAATATCTAAACTCAGTCGAAAGTTCCAGACCTGTGCCTCCCTTCCTTCATCCTTTAATCGTCCCTTAAAGGACGGGGACTTTTGACGAAGCCTTGGGGCACTTTTGACGCGCCCCGTCCTTTAAGGGACGATTAAGGGATGAAGGATAGGAGCCACTGGTCTGGAACCTTCGACTGAGGTTAGATATTGACCCGAGGAATCGATTGCTACCATTATTTTGGCGATCAGACGAAGCCTTGGGGCACTTTTGACGCGCCCCGTCCTTTAAGGGACGATTAAGGGATGAAGGATAGAAGCCACAGGTCTGAAACCTTCGACTGAGGTTAGATATTGACCTGAGGAATTGATTGCGACCATTATTTTGGCGATCAGACGAAGCCTTGGGGCACTTTTGACGCGCCCCGTCCTTTAAGGGACGATTAAGGGATGAAGGATAGGAGCCACAGGTCTGAAACCTTCGACTTAGGTTAGATATTGACCCGAGGAATCGATTGCGACCATTATTTTGGCGATCAGACGAAGCCTTTGGGCACTTTTGACGCGCCCCGTCCTTTAAGGGGCGATTAAGGGATGAAGGATAGGAGCCACAGGTCTGGACCTTCTCGTCAAGGAGAAACATACTTTATTTAGGGATGTTTATGCATTATGGGCGCTGATAGGCAAGCCTAGGGGTGGCTATATTTTTGATCAGATGCGTCTCGCTCGTTCACGATTCAAATTGTCACTTCGCTATTGTTTGAGAAATGAGAAGGAACTTCGTGCAAAATCTCTCGCTGATAAGCTCTTAAAGAGCCCT